ACCGATTTCTGTGGAATAGATTCACAACAAACCTTGAAAAGAGCTTCAGGAAGCAGATACATTTCTGCGTGACGAACGTCTAGCAAAGCCCTGTTAGCTATGGTAACGTTGTTCGAATTTGTAAAACTTGTCGCCAGAAGAAGGACCTCTTTAGATGTAGCTACAACTAGAAGGTAATGGATATGCTCCTAAAAATCATTTAGGAAACAGTTCGAAAAAAGGTAAACGAATAACGTCAGAAAACAGTTTTAAAAATGAAAGTAGCTTTTGTTCAACAATAATGTATAAGTCAAATTCTCTGTTTAGCCTTTTTTTTTTTTAAAAGTATTCGTCTGAACCTGAAAAACTCCTGGTTTCGGTCTGGCAATTGCTACTTTGGTGATAGTATTCGGTATACTGTCAAAATAAGCCAAGTCACAGCTAAAAAAGCATATGAACAAACAACAAAAAATGAATCATAGCTATAACGGTGGAGATAACAGTAGAGTAAGATATACCTGTCTTCAAAATTCCAAACAAATAATTCTGCATCTATTGTCATATACGCTCTCCCTATTTCTGGCAAAAGACCGACTGTATAAATGCACTGGGCATCTAGAGTAAAATCAAAAAACCATTTTAATAATTGTTAGAAAACAGCTTTTACACGCTCATGAAATTAGTGTGTAAAAAAAATAGGATTTTTAGAAACGCTAATTATGCAACTAAGAACCAACTGTTTAACTGATCCGTTAGCTGCTGTGGGAAAGGCCGTATCCGTTGCACAGCAAATTCATTAACGTCAATATCTCTCAGAGAAGGGTAATCTTCAGCCGCTAATCCAGAAATAGTTACCTTGTCTAAAAAAAATAATAGTAATAAAATGAAAAAATGCAGAATAAATATATTATCCTTTAGTATTTCATATAAAACCAAACCAGCAGCAGCAAATGTCACATTTTCAAAACTTCAACCTACCTGGCTGATTTGGGTCAAACTTCAACTTAAATAATAAATCGCTAAATTCTCGATCTTTCCACTGGTGATACTGTATCCTACTTGAAGCACTTTCCAAAGCATCATATTTTAGTTTTGTCTGTTCCGTCATTCTGTGCCACTATGATAATGAATGGTAATTTATTGATAAATTGTAGGACACGAACTTAAAACCGTTATATATAGTGGTAACAGTATTAACACTTTATCAACAATATAACATTGAAGGGAAAAAATATATAAATAAATGAAATGATAACCTCAGATGTGACCTTGAAGATGAATTTTGACACATTTTTTAACTTTTTAAAGAATATTAATTCGTAGGAATAGAAAAATAAAAAACAAAAAAACAAAAAAGAAATGAAATAATTCGTTTAAAAAAAATTTTTTTTTTAGAATTTAACAACAACAGCCAATAACTTCAAAAACTGATACAGTTTCAAAATTCAATTTCATTTAAGGAAATCCATAACAATTTAGCTGAACTTTTCATTGAACTAAAATTACAACTGTAAAGACGCCGGTAACCCGCCAAG